GGTCGTGATTTCCAAGCAGTTCTTCTTGGGCGTTAAGAGCCTCCTCAACGGTGCCGGGGTTCGTTGGGTCCATGATTTTTTTGGCCAGAGGATTCTGTGACGGTTCGTGCTCAGTGACTGTGCGGGTGGACCCAAACGAAAAGGGAGACGGGGAGAAGGGTTGAAGGAAAACAGGATTTATTAGGGAAGGTGGTGGAGTGATGGGCACCAGGAGGCAGAAACAAAGTCTGGTGCAGGGATGTCAGTCGTGGAGGAGGGAGTGGAGTCTTCGGTGTCGTGATCTGAAGAAGGGGGGTCCCGAGGGTGGTGCACGAAGAGAGTGCCTTGGTCCGTGGGGTTTCTCCCGGTGCAGAGAGGGAGCCGTGACGAGGGAAACCGGGGGCTGACTGTACACCGAGGTAGGTATCACAATCCTCTGGCGTGGGTCTTCTGTGAGACGCCAGTATTTAAGCAGGGCACGGCTGATGGGCTGATGAGCCACAGCCGCCAGCGTGCGCGTGTCTCTCCTGATCGGCTCCGCCCAGCCTGCAGAAAACAGAGGCACACCCACCAAAACACAAAGACCGATAAAATCCCAAAAGCACAGTGAAAACAGTCTAGGACCCTCACAAATCGCCCACTTCAAGGCGAGAAACTCCAACTTTCTAGAGTGTAAGTGATGATTTTTCTCTGCTACAGTAGGTGCCCTGGAGCCATATCCTATAACACGCAGTTGGCCTCCGTGCTGTTGGTAAAGTACATTGCTAAGACCCTCATTTGAGGCATCTGTGTGCTAAATAAACGGTGACTTGCAGTCAGGATAACACTGGTTAGCATGTCCATGTAACCCAGTGTTATTCTATTGTTAAAACTTTTATTTTATTTTCATTTTCTAGTTAATGTGAATCTTTTATGTACTTTGAATGCATCACAGTGCGGCAAATGGCAGTTTTTCGCTAAGTATTGTTTTTTCCAACTTACTGTGAATGCACCGCAGCACTGCATAAGGCAGCGCCGGTCAGAGAGAGAAAAAACTTTCTTTCACCCTCTCTGAGAGTCGGATGAGGAGAGGATTCAGGAAAAAAACACCGTTTTATCACTGAAAATGTCCTTTTTGTAAGCTGTGAAGTGATATGGTCTAGTCCTGTGATGGGTGAAGCCGAGGAGAGTTGAATATTGTTGAAGAATATCCTGGTGAGTGTTAAATGTATGCATTTAGCAGCCTGTTCCTCAAATGCATGAACAAATAGTGTGAATCAGTGTACGCTTTAAACTATAAAACCAGTCAGGATATGCTGTTTTTGTGGGGAAGTGATTATTTTAAGCTGCAAATGAATAGCTAGCTGTGGTAGCAGTGAAAAGCTAAGCTAGCACACCTACACGTCTTTTTTTAGCAGGTGCACTGCACGTGAGCTAACACACTGTGTGGAGTGATGTTGTGAACCTGGTATAAGTTTAATATGCACTTTTATTTGGCCCAGTGGTTATTTGTTGTGTTATTATTTTGTTTTTGGGATTTAAAAAAAGTGTTGTTATGGCTCAGTAATTATGACAACTTGAAGCAAGACAGCATTTCTGACTTAAAGATATTCTTTATTATTTTGAAATCCAAATGCAGGTAATTCATTTTAGGTGGATTATACATTTTATTTTGCACATTGAGTAATGCCTCTGCATGTTTTGTGCAGGTTTTCTGTTGATAGAATCATTTTGAAGAATGAGAAGTGCTATCCATGGACTGGATTCCGCCTGAAGAGTCTGCAAAGGATGTTCTGGAATCTGATGGCCTCCTGTTTTCCAGGAGGGTGGTAGGACAAAAAATGGATTTCCCATTTCCTTTGGAAGATTTGCATATTTTTTATTTCATCTGAGATCTCAGACCCTTTTACATATTTTTTTTGAGTCAGGCCTGACACACACAAAAAAACTGAGTGCAACAAACTGAAATGGACAGTGTGAAGAACTGCAAAGGAAATTAAAACAACTCCAATGAACAGTATTAGAACTGATAAATGATTGGTAGCAGAGGTCATTCAACTGGTGGAACTGATTTCTTTTTTCTCTTTGTTCCATTTTTTTCTGTCATGTCCGTGTTGTGAAACAATTTCTTTTTTTGGGATCAAGTCTTTTAGTGAGAATGGATAACATCTTGACAATACACGTTCTGCCTTTCTACTAAAGTAATTGTCAGTCTCTTATTGTGGTTGGAGGTTTCTTTTCTCTCTAAGCAGAGTTACCATTTCCAATCTCCTTACCAATCCTAGTATTTGAGCCCTGGGTTGTGTAGACTTGGACAGGATGTGTTTCTGAAAGACCAAATTGATTCAGATTTAGATTGTTTTTTCTGACTATACAGAAAAGGGGTGACATCCACAAACCTGGAAATGATGGCACTGTGCTCTGGAGCCCACTGAATGGGTTTTCGATGACACCACTAGTTGTGTTTTGGACCTTGCCTTTTGTAGTCTTAATGGCTTTCTGACACTGTACCAGTTCAAAGAGAGGTCTGGGTAGTCTTGCAAAGTCCTGAATATAAGAGCCGTAGTAACTTAAGAACAAGGGATGCACGATAATTATCGACCCTATAAATTGTTGGTCGATATGGGGCAAAATTAAGTAACTTTTTATCGGTCCGATAAATTGATTTAATTCGATAAATTGAACCGATAATGTAATAGGTTTTCTAATATTGCTTGTTGTAGTGTTGCGCCTTTAAACAGGTCGTTGCGCTCCCGACATCATCTACCGCGTGCGAAGTATGCATACCTGACTGACCTGACTGGACACAGGAGCTCGCATGTCCTCACCAGTATGGATGTTCTTCTCGGTGGCATTGGATGACAAGGGCATCGCTGTTTGTAAAACGTGTTCAGCAAGGATTCTGAGAGGAGGGAAGAACATGACAAGTTTTAACACAACAAATCTTATAGCTCATCTGAAAAGTTGTTATCGCAGCGAAACTATTTTAAAACACTATGAAGCCCCTGCAGCAGCTACTTTCACCAAGGCCAGAACAACACGGAGTGTGGTTGTCCCCATTCAGCAGGCATTTGACAACTGTAAAAAGTTTGTCAGAGACAGTGAAAAGGCTAAAGCCATAAACGACAGAATAATTGAATTCATTGTGCTTGCTGACCAGCCTTTTTCAGTCGTAGAGGATCTGGGTTTTTGCAAGTTAATCGCGCATTTGGAGCTGCGTTACACCATCCAACGCTGCTGCTTCTTCTCAGATGTGTCTCTCTCTGCCTTGTATGATTTGGTCGCCAGACACATTCATAATATGACTGACAAGAATGGACTAAACATAAGTTTCACCACGGATATATGGACATCTGACGTGAGTTTGGTCTGTATGCTTAGCCTAATGGCTCAGTGGTTAGATAAAGATTTTCACATGCAAAAAGCCTTACTGCACACACAGGAGTGCTCTGGATCGCATACAGCGACAATGGTGTGTCAAGATTTTGAAAGCATGCTCGAAAAGTGGAGTATAACAAAAGACAAAGTGCATGTTGTGCTAAGGGATAACGCACACAATATGACCAAGGCTGTGGAGGACTGTGGGCCTGCAAGCTTAGGCTGTATGGCACACACTTAACAGCTCGCCGTAAACGAGGCTGTGCTGAGCCAGAGAAGCATCACAGACTGTGTTTCGATTAGCAGGAAAATGGTTGGCCACTTCAAGCACTCTCAACTTGCTTCCTCTCGTCTGAAAGAGTTACAGACACACAAAACACACAAGTGTTCAACAAGACGTGCCAACCAGATGGAACAGCACGTATTACACGCTGAGAAGTTTGTTGGAGCAGAGACGAGCCCTTGGAGCTTATGCAGTAGATTTTGAGTTACCTGCTTTTCTAAGCGCATATCAATGGATTTTAATTGAAAACTTGTTTGCTGTTTTAGACACAAGTGTACAGCTGACAAAAGACATCAGCTCAGCTACAGCAGCTGATGTGATCCCCTCTATTGAAGCCCTAAAACGTCAAACAAGACGTTAAACAAGACTGTTGTAACAGATCATGGAATCAAAACTTCTAAGAGCACCCTATTGCAAGCCGACTCCAGATACAAGGACTGCTATTTTAACCAAGCAACAAAAAGGGAAGCAATAGAAAATTTGCGTGCCAAGGTGAGTGGTGCATCAGCCACTCAAAAATATGGATGAGCCAAAAATGAAAAAGTCCAAGTCCAAGGAAGATGACAACAACAATGCTTCCTTGCTGGCAATGTATGAAGAACTCGTTCAAGAAAACTATGATGTCACAAATGAGCCGACACAAAGCCAAGCAGAAGGGCAGGTAATGAATTTATTGTTTAAATAAAGCTTCGAATGTGTCTTGTAAAAATAGATCAAACATAGTCATATTAATTATTTTATTTATTATATTTAATGTTTGTGTTTCTTATCTTCTTTCGATAAAAGAATATCTGTCAAAGCCCCCGATTCCCAGATCCGAGAACCCCATAGAATACTTTGAGAACCAACAAATCCTGGTTCCCGAGCCTTGCCTCACTTGCACAGAAATACCTGTCGGCCCCTTGCACAAATATAAACAGTGAACGTTTATTTTCTGGTTATTGATGAAAAAAGAAACAGAATTAGATATGAGAAGGCAGAGATGCTACTCTTTATCAAGAAAAATCTCCCAATGATGCCCTCACATGAATAGAAAAGACAAAAGGACGTTGAACAAAGTGACAGGTGAAAAAATGTTAAGAAGTTGAAATTGGAAAATGTATTTATTTATTATTGAAACTAACATTTCAGAGAAATCTCTACTGTGCCCTCAGCAATTAAAGCAGTAATAATTCTGTAAACGCGATTTGTTGAGACTTTATGCACTTTATTTTCTATTTTTGTGTGTTTTTGGAGTTGAGGTTGACATATGTCGATGCATTTCATTTATTTCATCTGAAGAAATATTTGACTTAAAAACTATACCTACCTCATCCTCATGTACTAAAGATTGTATTTCTTTGTTTTGTATAAAATGCGAGGAGACACATGGTGTTATTTGCAGATAAAACCAGTCATAGTTCTGTGACACCCTTTTCTTGAGGGATGCCCTTTTTGCTTTAGTTGTGATTTGATATGTCAGTACATTTGATATACTGTATTCATTTTCATTTATAGCAACTGGCCAAACAGCCTGTGTGAACAATCACAGGAGATTTTATTTTGATTTGTTTTCATTGAGAAAATGCACTGTGTGTTATTTTTTTCAGCTGTTTGTGATATTTTCACAAAAAATAAAGGAACATTTGAATAACCTGTACTGTTTTTTTGCTGTTTTAATCTGGTCAGAGCTTCAAAAGTATCAGTTTGTTTCATCACTGCATCCTAAATGTTTTTATTCTCCTGGGTGCACTAACTGCAGATTATTTTAAGATTATATTAAATATAAAAATATGAACTTATCGATTATCGGTATCAGCCATGAGAAGCAGTTAATTATCGGTCATCGGTATTGGTAAAAATTTTCCATATCGTGCATCCCTATTAAGAACCCGAATAAAGCTCTTACTTCCCCAGTTGTTTTGGGCTCTCTCTCTCTCTCAGTTGTATTACTGCCTCTAAGCCCTTGGGATCTATTTGGAATTCTTCCTTTGAAACAACACGACCTATGCACCTTACTTGCTATTTGAAAAGTTCACATTTCTTTGACCGCAATGTGATGCCATGTTCTCTCATTTGGCTAAACACCTCACGTTGTACTTGTATGTGACCATCAAAGCTTGTGGAATAACACAGTATGTCATCTAAGTATGGGGAACAACACTCATCCCTCAGGCCTTCCAATACCTTCTCCATGCATCTTTGAAATGCTATACATAGAATTTAAAAATGGAAAAGAATTAAACCATCTGCCTCTATGACTTTATAGCTGTAGACCTGATGCAACAATATCAAACAACCTCTGAGAGTATCTTTACTTTACAGTATTTCATCACATACAAGCATGTTTTGAAAACATTTTAGAACCTAACGTTCAGAGGGAATACAGAGGATGCTTAAATTTATTGGTTTTCTGTGTTTAAAACTTATAAGGTTATCACCTTTAAGCTGACAGGTAAATAAAATGGAATTGAATTGAACCCCAATACATTTTTAGTTAGTTGCAGTGGTTGGAAATTTGGAACTCATAAACCTGAAAGTATACATACAAGGAACCACGAATGCTTTCCTTACTTAAGTTATCCTGTACCGTAAAGAGCGTTGTCGGAAACAAACATCTTTTTAATCAGACTGTATCATCAGCTCGTCTTCATCAACTCTTCTGAGGTCTAAATTTTAGTGCACACACAAAACACAAGTTGTCGTTTAACCATACAAAGTAGCATGAATAACATTTATTTAATCAAAACAGACTGCATGCAAGAAACATGGGCATACCATAGCAACATCTATCCATCCGTTATCTATACACCGCTTATTCCTCTTTAGGGTTGTGGAGGGGCTGGAAGCCTATGCCAGCTGACTCAGGGTGAAGGCAGAGGACACTGTGGACAGGTCGCCAGTCTATCCCATAGCAACATCTCTATAACAAATGCTACTGTGCCTTAGTGAAGCTTGCACTGTTTCAGGAGAGGTGTTGATTAAACAGAGAAAATGTTTATCCCTCAACCTATAGCATGTGGTGCGTATGTTGTGACACTATAAGTCAGGATCAGTTTTTTCTTGTCTTACCTTTTTGTCTTACTTCCAATTATTGTGTGCAGACTGTGCTAATGACCCAAAACTACCTATTATCACATTGACGTACTTTTAGAGTCACCAGTTAACCTCGCATACATGTCTCTGGACTGTGGGAGGAAGCCAGAGAAGACACAAACTCCCCACAGAAAGGTGCAAAACTGCACCACCACCAGTTTGTATAGCACTGACTTTGTTTGAAACCCATTCAGAGGGTGGGAAGGACATGATCAGTATGTGTAACATGAGTTTTAACAGAAGTTCAAGAGTTGGTGAACGGATAAGTTTAAACAGTATTTACAGACGTGACTAGAAGCACCATTTGTACTCATATCCCACAGAATTACATAATAGCAGCTGCAACAGGCACAATGGCTTGCTGAGTCACAGTGTCCACTATGTTTATGTACATTCAGTTTTGGTAGGAGGTAATTCTTGTGGTAAAAAGGCTGTAAAAATAGGCTATCCTGCCACTTTCTTATCTGGTGTCAAGAACAAGAAGATTTTGGTTGCGTACACTGTCAGACCTTGTGCTTTTTAGTAAACAAAACATGACGTCCCTTTCGGATAATGTTATTCAGAATGAAGTTACAGCTTCTCCTCGTTTTATCTTCCTGGGAGAATTTTGTCTTGGAGGGATCTTGGAGAAAGCATTTGGGCAGATGACAAAAGCACGTGTGAAACAGGGCAATAAATTCAGCAGCATGGTAGTAGACTGTAGACTGTCTCACGTTAGCATTTAGTGGCTCTGTGGAAATTTTCTGTTGATACAGAAATTAATGAAGTGAGTCCATTGCTGTTGCAGTTGCTAATTTTTCAGACACAATCGTAGTCATTGTTCATAATGCAGGCACTGTACATATCTATCCACTAGAGGGAAGACACTCATCATATTACAGTTCTTTAGTCTATGTATATCCTCTGTTATGGACACAAAAATCTAAATATATTATCTGTTACTTTTATTATAATAATCTTTAAGCTAGTATACCAACCAATAAGATTGTTACAATATTCATATTAAAAACATTAACGAGTCAATTGTTCCAACAATCATGTGACTTATGTTCATCTCGGTTAGATGTTGTTAGAAATATGTTGTTTAACACAGAAAAGGAGGCAGAAGTTAAAAAAAAAAAAAAAAGAGTCGGTAATAACCGAAAAATTTTAGTTTTCAAATGACAGCTTTTTATTAGTCAAATAAAAGTAAATACACTTTATATTTTTACTTAAACAAAAAAAAAATTATAATATTTTGATGGAATGTGTTATTTGTATTAAAAATGCATTGCAGATTACAGTTCCTTGTATTGTTACACAGTACATAACATTTATTAAAATTCAGTACAGAAAATGAACTGTTCATTCATTTGATCGTATTAATTGGTCATTATGCATCATCACAAGTTGTATCACTTTTTTTCACACCCAAATGCACCAAATATGCAGGAAATATGTCACATGTCAGTGAACACAATGAAATAAACACTCAGCACAGTTCTCTGGTTCAAACCGTTCCGGACTGGAACTTTAAAAAGCTCTGCTGTTATGTACGTTGCATGTCTGCAGATTGATCACTTCAAGTATGTTCAATTATAAAGGTCTGTAAAATAAAAAGTCAGAGGCTTTACACAATAAAATGAATCCTAACAGAAGTGCCAGTTTGAACAGATTTGAGGACAGTGTTATACAAGTGAAGTTTTTTACGATTTTCAGCAGCTTAAAGCAATTTGTCAGCTTTAGATTATCACACTTTAATGCAAGCAAGAACACGGCTACAGCTCGAAAGCACATCACTGCAAGGTCATGTTAAAAGCACAGCCTGGGCTTTGCAGAACAATGACCATCGTACACCAACTACACACTCTTTATGTCCTTCATTTTTGAGCTAAGAATTAATGCTGTTGCTTGGCAATTTAGTTTTTTCTAGTAATGCAGGGCTCTGTTTTTGCTGTCTCTTGTTTTTAAGGTGTACACAATAGGACTGATGCAGGGATGCAAGAATCCAGCAGAAGGCTCTGTACATGCTGGTCCAGGTCAGTGGCTCACACGTAAAAGCCAAACGTGGAAATGATGCAAAATATAGCGACAAGGATAAGTTGCTCAACACAGAAACAAACAATAGGTCAGCCCACTGTGTTCACCTGTCTTTGTTGGCCCCATAATACACTGAATCAAAGGCTGAGCTGAAACTGTGCATCCAGATTGTGTGTTTTACAGCACAATACTCTGTTCCCTTTCTTCGAACTGATGCTCTAATGGTTGTACAAATCTGATAACCCATTTGGGGTCACCATTTCTGTTGCCAGACATTGTTAACATAGCACACATTTCAGGCTCTTAGTTCACTGTGCAGACTTTCTTAAATTATTGCTCTGTTTCACTAACTGTACAAGAATTACTTTAGAATCCTGCAGCATTTTCGTTGCACACCAACTTGATTTTTCCTGATTGGTGCCAGCACTCTGATTTTGATCTCTTTGGTTTTTAAAGAATACACAATAGGATTGATGCAGGGTGGGATGCAAGAGGCCAGCGACAGGCTGAGCACACGCTGGTCTGGGTTGATGGCTCTCAGATAAAACCCAATTGTGAAAATGACAAGAAGAGGTATGTAAAATACAGCAACGAGAATAATATGCTCAACACAAGTGGCTAAAGTTTTCACTCGACTGTCCAGTGATTTCATCCTGAACACGGTCACCAAGATGCTGACATAAGATAGAAGAATGAAAGTAAAGGGTAATATAAGGAGCATGATAGCACTCAAAGAGGCTGCCCACCACTGCATTGTGTAATCATTACAGGCGAGTCGAAACACAGGAGCATAGTCACAGAAGTAGCTGAACACTCTGACAGAGTTGCAAAAAGACAGTTGAGTCATTATACCTATTGAAAACGCAACGACTCCCAGAGCAAAAGACCACGATATGCTGACAATGCAACACATTCTCCCGAATGTGTTGATTGAGTTCTGACGCAGAGGAAAACATATTGCGATAAGCCGGTCATAAGCAAGAATGGCAAGTGCATATGACTCCAAAGTCGCAAAAGCATAGTAGATAAACATTTGTACCAAACATAGGTTGAACGGAATAAAGTTATCCTTAACAAGGAATACCTTTATCATGCTGGGAATAGTACATGTGTTTAGTATTACATCAATCACTGCAAGGTTGAGAACAGCCAGAAATTTTGGCGTGTGTAAACAATGATTAAAGGCAATGACACAGATCACCACACTGTTAAACAGCACTGTAACCGCATAAACAAATGCGAGAAAGATGAAATAGAAACTAATGGAAGGAAAATTCTGAAATCCAATGATATAGAAACCTGGAGGATGAATGATGACAGTGTCATTTAAAAGAGCCCTGAGAAAAGACATAGTTGATCTCAACAGCCTCTGTTGGTGGACGGCTTCTGCATAATAGCTCTCCAGTCTGACAAAGAGGGAAATAACATCACACACAGCCTGCATGTGCATCATATTCACGCCATTATAATCATTACATTCAAACAGAACAGTGTTTAAGATGCATTCTCAGTAAGTTCAAGCATACATAATTGAAGCATACCTGATTACCTTTAATCACAGCAACTCGTGTGATGCTCTCGCCATCCGAAGATTGCAGACGTGTCTGACAGAGAGTGGAAAATATATGTGTCTCATTGATCTCCAGAGATAGTCCTTCCTTTTGAAACTTAAAAGTAAAAGCCTTTTAATTTGGTCCGTGGAGAGCAGGGCTGTACCCTGTACCCACTTTGATCATCCAATCAGTCCTCCTGAAGGCAGGGAAATATGTAATCTTTTTAGAATCAAATAAAACTGCAAAATAGGTCATGACAGAGACATACTGTTGCTAAATGTGTCTGTAGGCAAAGACCTTCATAGATTGGCTAGTACTCAGCCTAAATCAACTATGGTAAAGCCAACAGTTTAAACAATTTTTGAATTGCACCAGTATTAAAGAACTGCATTATGGCATACTTGCATTATCAGCCATGTCTATAGTTCTTACCTCTTCAATGGTCTGAGGTAAACGCCACTAATGCTCATTACCTTGTCTTGTGTAAGTTACTTGTTATGAATAATTGGCCGACAAATGTGCAAGTCTGAGTCTTGAGTTTGTATGAAACACTCAAACATTACAGAAAGAGTCCAGCCCAAGAACATTATATTGGTCAACCTGATAAGAATGACTGTTTGTGATTGGGGAAAAAAAATCAGGAACATCCCCAGTTTAATAACTGATTAATTCGGACAGCAATGGGGTGTTAATGTTAATTGTTACTGTGTAATCAGGTTTCTTATATAAGTTTACTTTTCTAACACAGTCATGTGAAATTTGTGTACTCAGAAGTAACTAAACAGTGCATTACGGCGACTCATCTGTTGCATAGTGGTCCCGAGAGAAGCATTTATCATTAAACAGGCCATAGTGAGCACAGTCAAAATGGTTCTTATGGGCCCAATTTGTAATGAAATCACCAGAGAATTGTGAATAATGACAGTAAATTTGACAAACAAACTATTTACGGTTTGCACTTCGGACCAATTAAGGATAAAAACAAAGACGTAATGAGGTGGAAAGCAGGTGGAAGTGTACGATACTCAAATGGCTGTGAATTCTTTAGTTGTGTTAGTCACACAGCTGCACAAATGAGTCAAGTCGTAAAAGCTTGAGAGGACAAGCTGTTTGCAGTCTTCAGTTTCTGTTGCTCAGTCACTCATTGTTTTGATTTCCTGCATTGTAGCTCACATAGACTTTACTGTGTTTTCATAAAAGAAGTATGTGTATTTTTTGCCTGGACAGTATGTTTATGCACCCTAAACCCTGAAATGAAATCAACTAAGATTCCTGACATATGTGATCTGCTTTTGCTTGTAGTAAAAGATCAGAATCTTAAATATATTTTTAACTGATCTGTAAAAGTTTTTGCAGAGATGTGGTTTGATTTCAGGCTGAAGTATTCTGTGCTTCTGTGACGCATCTGTCAACAGAAGGATCAGTTTGGTTTTTTTGAGGAATACAGTAGTGACCAAACATTTACTGAAAACATTTTACTATTGAAAAATTAACTTCCCAGTGCTCTTTGATGAACAAATTGCAAAATAACAACAATGTTTGGTAGGCAAAGTCTTTAATAAGTTTATATTGACTAATAAATCACAGTTATCAGTTCTCCACCAAACACTTTAAAGTCCAAGTCCGGATTAAATGTACTCGTCCTTCACTTTCAGTACAACAATTAAATAAGGTTCAGTCTCTTCACTTTAAATGAGTCAGTCAGGTCCTGACCTCAGCCCACTTTGTGCGTTTGTGGTTTTGTGAGTTCAGCTCGGCGTAGACTCGGTGGAGGTTGATCGCTGCTTCATCAGCTGTTCTTTCCGAGCTTTTTGGAAACTCATCATGCAGTCTTTGAAAGTCTGGACCTGTTTCTGGCAGACCCGCCAGTCCTGGTGTTCAGCCATGCACTCCTGCACAGCATAGTGTAGCTCAGCGCAGCCAGTGCGGGATATCATCTGCTCAACGGGGTCATCCTCATCGTCACTACGGCTGCGATCATGGGGTGAAGGGGATGCCATCCTATGTCAATACACGGTGCTGAGGACATCACAAGAAAGTGATAGAACAGTTTTAGGAGCAAGCACATGCTATTCAGGCCTCTTAGCAATGACACCTCTGAAGTGTAGCTTGATTTTCTTATTCAATTTAGATTTTATTGCAACTTTACACTACATTTTAGTAAAAGAAACTTACTCTACAACTGCTACATATCCTGAACAAAAATACAACATGTAATAACTCATCAGGTTCTACTGATTCTTTTTAACACAAGGGAAAAGGTGTCTGTTGTTTCCACACAAGGCATTTGTACAACAGAATGGAACTATCTTGGAAATTATAAGGAGCAGATCAAAAGTGAAAGACCAGAAAGTACCCAGTGCCACACATTTATCACGCATAAGAGTTGTCAGTGCAGACATGACTGTTGCACTACTATTCCTGAAAAGGCTTGCAGGCATTTCTGGGGACAGGATCACAATGTCGGACACGTTTTACCACAGCTGCTTCAGACAACAAATGGTTGAGCTCTGGTCGTTCAAGTTCCTGACTTTGGCCTTAGCTGACATACCAGCATCCAGCATGCCGACTGTAGTAATATGAATTAAAGCTGGATTTTAAGGTGGCCTTTTAGAGTCGTGGTCAAAGGTGTGTCTGTGTTCTGGTCACCTTATCGGATCATTGTCCTTTAAAGCCTCAGCTGACTAGGGTTTAAATCAAAGGACGAGAATTCGACACTAGTTCAACAGCTTACAATGTTTTTCCTGCAGAACTGGCTAAATGCAACCGTCTTCAAAGCACTTTTGCTCTGAAAAGAAAGAAGATAATTTGAATATTGCTATTGTTGCTCAGGGCAGTTTCTTCCAACTTGACAGATTGCAGTTTAAATACAAAGCATAGGATGATCTTACAAATATGATGGTGAATGAAGTTAAAATGAGCTCCACCTCGACCGTGCATTTATTTTTTTATATTTCTGATATCACTATCACTCATCAGCTTAGGACATCGCGATCATTTGGCTGCACCGTCGTTACACTATACTGTGGTTACGTGACACGGAAACAAACATGCAATCCTCGACGTTAACTAATGTTACACACGTTAGCTAATATGACCGAGGAAGCGGCTGAAAGTTATTTGTATAACTCTGTCTCGTTCTTACTTGTTTATTGTCCTGAGAATTTTTCCGTCGAGGCACTTAAATGAAGTTTTCATACCCTGCATGAGTTTTAAGTTTTCATAAGCAGCAACACACATAACACCGCAAATGTCACATGGAGGATACATTTGAGCGAAGGACCAACGTGTCGCCGTAAAATAGTTCCGTCGACGTTAGTTCCGCTACACACTGAGACAACTGCTACTATTAAAAATCAGGTCAGTAAGACAATAACCTGGAGGCTGCCTGTCAGTCAATATATTATTAAGGTCAATAACACATTTGAAATATTTCCTTGTCTGTTTTTAATTCATCAAGTTGTTAACATTTACAAACTGAAAAATAACCAACAGTATTTTTTCACTTCCATGTCTGTAATGCATCGTGCTTTGCTGATAAGGATGTATATTTGTTTTGGGTGTGTTAAGGCCTAACTACAGTTGAAAATAAGGAATAACTCTCTATGCACAGCAACAGTTTCGTACTATGTTTTGGAACTGTGTTAAACTGCACCAAAAAAATAAAAATAAATAAAATAAAATAATATATATATATATAGTATCATTTCAGATAACAATTTAGACAATTTGTGCTATATGATGTGTGTATGTCTTACTTAGAAAAATAAACTTTAAAGAAAATGGTGACCGTATAGCCAACCCTAACTCAAACAATATCTTGTTTGATTGAATGCTCTAACAGATCAAACTGAGCTATTAAAACTCATTTCTGGACAGGCAAATCATAGTTCATGCATGCAGGAATCTTCCAAGAGGGGGTGAGATGAACAGAGGGGCAAAAACACAGTTGAGATGTTATACAGGCCATGGTGTGCCAAAACAAAATTATTCCAGTAAGCCCACTTTATGCTGTGATCTCCAGAGAATTTCAGTTAATGGAGTTTAGCAAACAAACCTTTTACCGTACAAACTTCAGATAAATGAATTTCAGTTGCATCTATTAGGAATAAAAACAATTAAAAGGGGAGGGAGATGCTTGTTGTGTTTCATTCAGTGTTTCTGTTAAGCTGAGATTTCATTCAAATTACACCAAGTGGCCTCATACTACCTTTTCAAATGCTACTGAATTGGAAAAAGACAATTTGTATTGTAATTGTATAGGAAAATAAAATACAGAAACAATGATGAGGTGCTCCATACAGATTGCAAGAGCTTTCATCCTACGTCTTACTGATTTCATTTTCAACACAGTCACCAGGGTACTGGCATAAGACAATGAAAGTAATGGAGGCCAGCAGGCTGTAATCATGACGGGCAGATCTAAACACAGGAGCCCAGTCACAGAAATAGCTGAAAACTTTGGCAGAACTACAAACAGATAGTTCAATAATGATTGCTGTACCATAGACTAATCTGCTCAGAATGAAAACCCAAGTCATGCTGATAATATAAGACACGATTCGTAGTTTGTTGAGTGTGTTTTGATGCTTAACTGGTCATAGGCAAGTATAGCGAGTGCATATCGTTGTAAAACTATGGTTGGAAAATATTTGTACCAAGGTTGAATAGAACAAAGTTGTCCATAAAAAGGAATATCTCAATCATGCTGAGAATAATGCGAGTGATGTGTTGTCTTCCAACTTATCTTGGACACAAAACAAGCATTTAATTATTGTTTCATGATTCTCCTTCACCTCATAACTCTTCACATACACACATATTTACTGGTTTTAGCAGATGACATCACACCACACCACTCCTGGCTTCTCTCTGTGTTGGTTTGATGTTCTCTGATCACTTATAAAGGTCATCTGGGTCTGGCAAAAGGCTACACAGCAGAAATGTTGACCCCGTATGAGCCAGCTTACAGCTTTAGATCCTCAGGTAAGGCTCTTCTGACTGTTCAAAAGTTGAGGCTTAAATGCTTAAAGGTGACCAAGCTTTTTCCCTCAGAGCCCCTCAGCGTTAGAACGACCTGCCTGAGGAGATAAGACTCACAGAAACTTCTTTTAACCCACTTCTGACACCCCATTTTTATAGTCTTGCTTTTATGTGATGTCAGACCTTTTATATCTTTTGAATTTTATTTGTCTTTCTATATGCTGACACATTGCATTTAGTACATATATTTTTTCATCTTTTGTCATCTTGTTTTAGCTTAATGTATTTCCCCTCATTTTTACTTTGCTTTGTGCACCTTGCTTTTTCCTTCTGGGTACCAAGCTATTGCTGTGTCTGTCAAAGCAGTTTGTAAAGCACTTCATAAGGTGCTATGTAAATACATATATTATTATTGTTAACTCATAGTATCATCAATCAATCGTCGTCATATGTCACCATTTTTAAAACATTCCATCAGATAACATCTGTATTTTAGAATTTTACTGAGATGAGAGCAGTGAAGTTGATGTATTAAGACACCTCTAGTTGATCTGGGAGTGGTGACAACTTTTCCTTTTGCGTTTTGAATTTTGAAGACAGGATTACACCTGTACACAAGTACAATACGAATGTATAAGGCACATAAGTGAACACTGGAATAGCATTGTGTGCATCAATCCAAGCCACCTTGTTTTTGTGTTGGAAGTTCTTTAAAAAGTGAGTTCATAAAGACTAAGTATCCTTCAGAGTTATTTGCTGCAATAAACCATGCGTATGCCTGCAGGACTCATGCACTCTTAGGAGAAAAGCAAAAGGTATGAAGTCACATTCCATCATACAGGAACGTTTGTCTGTCATAAACCTCCCAGCAGGAGATGACAGGGTGCCGGCTCAGTCTCTCTGGGTTTTGCCTAATTGTTGATAAGCTTTGTTCACTTACAAGGCAGAATTATTTGTGTGGCTTTATCTTCCTTTTTTCCTCCTTGAAACTGGGGTCTCTGATCAAGCTGAGCTCTGAGGACAAACTGGAAATGAATTAGAGGGAAAACCTCCAATTAAGCAGCACATAGTTATATGTAGAGTACAGAATAATAGAAGTAGTAAATGTGAATATCAACAGTAAAATATGGAGTTCAATCACAGTTTCCCGTATTTGCTCAATTTGACAAAAAGTGTTTTGGAGCAAAATCACAGACTTAATAAAACCCTTAATACAAAATCCTAAACAAATAGACATCATTTACAGTTGTGGGTTTGTTGCTGACACTCTCTGAGGACACCGAGACAAGATTAGATTTTCCTGTCTTGGTTAGAAGAACAGCTTAAGTGAGACAGCACAGTCACAGGTATACTCACTCCACACATAACTCATTAAGACTTTGGAGTATGTGGAACAGTTTTGTACTTGACTCGTCACCACCTTGTCTTCAGCTCACACACACAGTTAAACTCATAGCGTCTTTGAATGAGCGTCAGAAACCTTTTGATTAGTCAGTAACTTAGAGTTGTCTTATGTAAGGAGAGGTGCAGCTTGTCTAGACTTCATTTACCTATCCTGACTAGAAAGAAGACAATGTGGTAATCCTTGAAAAATGTGAAGGAATCTTTACTTGACTTGGGATGTTTGAAGACAGTAAATAAAACAAAATATGGTGATTTGCCCAATACTTCATCTTCTCAGAGGGTGTATTAATCAAACCAAAAGACTGTGTGACACTAATGACTCTCCTCAAAACAAAGCAACCTTTTGCTGTCTGACTAATTATTCTTACCTGTATTTATAGTGTTGCTCATTCACATTTGGAGAGTAATGGATTTAAAACTGTAGCCCTTCTGCACTGCCAGCTTTTCTCCAAGAGCACCTCTTCTGAAGTAACAACTTATGTTCTTATTTTATTTGACAATAATAAAGTAATTCAATTTTGAAACACAATAAGCTGCACTGCTACGCATCAGCAGATGGTCAGAAGCGAGATTTTGCTGTCACAACAGCAGGCTCGCATACTCATGCACCTTGGTCTGCCATCTTCAGCCGTGACTGATAGAAATACAATACTAATCGACAGTGACTGCATAGTGATTAGTAATGAGAAACAATTAGAGCTCAGTGATAGTATGCACAGTTAAATAAGCCTGTTCTCTCTCTCACACACACACATTATTTTGCAAATCTCATCAAAAACCTTTGACACTTCATATAAACTTGCCGTGTACGAAGAGACTCAACAACAAAATGTGATGACATTGACAGTAAACAGGGTTCCCAAAGGGGGCTTTTTTGTCACCAAGCAGGACTCTGTGACCCCAGACAAAATGATCCTCTCCTGCCTCTTTGACTCCTGGGAACCCTGCTAATGAGTCCTATTTGTGATGTCGTTACCAAAGGCTGCTGGTTAATGACCTTGCCTGCAACAAACAAAGCTTTTACTGTTCAAGCTTAAGCCTAATTAATCTCATCTGCAACCATTAGGAGGTTTTGCACTCTTGCAATTAAAACTGGAGTGTAATGGGAAGGGATGCTCAGTGATATTAATGAGTCACTAGTGTTCTTGAAAAGCTCAAGTAAACCCCCTAATTGTCTAATAGCTACCTCCTCTCTGAAGAGCTATAGGAGATAGGCCTGCAATCTCTGCTGCTGCACCCGCGGACACCCTTTCTCAAGTCACCTTTTTGTAATTAGTAGACAAACAATAGGTGCCAAACTTTAGATTGTATTCGCAGTTACTTGCTGCGTTGGCAAGGAACACAAATGATATGCTGTGCTATAGAGTTAAATGTAATTCATTAGAAAGTGGGCTGAGAGCTCACAAGACATCTAGAAGTTACTTGTTTGAAGTAGGAGACAATTAAAATTGCTTCTAAACACCCTGAATATATTGAAGGCTGTTAGTAACCACAATCAGTCAAGCTGCTTCAGGTGTCTGCGAGCTTTCAGAAATCTCCCGAAAACAACAAAATTGTTAAAAAAAAAAAAAAAGAAAAAAAAAAAAGACTCATGGTGACAGTGATTGTCGAGCACAAAAAACAATCCAGGTGGGATTTACTTTCCGTCTGGAAGCTCTACATGCTCATAAATTCTTGAAAGCTTTTAATGCATTAGTGCAAGAGTCTAAAAATCAGAACAGGGACAGACTGCTGTGAGAAGGAGGAGTGAGCGTTGGAGGACTGAGAAGGGTTTGAAAATAGGAACAATTAAAAAATTAGTTGATAAGGCTCTGCCAGGAGCGCAGCAGGATCCACGAGAACAGAACAGATAAGAGCTGTGCTCGCTGTTACTGTGCACTGCAGGATACAAACCAT